TTTTTTTGAGCGTCGTTACTACCGTAATTTATGGCTGATTGAATTCGTGGTTAGATACACCGCGCTCTTGTATGGACATTTGAACATCGCGTAGTAGTGTGAATATTGCATTGTTGTCTTAGAAGCGTTGTTGGTTAATCCATGTAAGTTAGGATTACTGAATAAATCATATTGGGGATCTTTATCTTTTATTTCCAATATTAATTGGTAAGTTATTGATATTGTGAGTTACTTAGGGTATCTGGAGGATTAAATTTACCTGGCGCCCATTAAGATCTATTTGAAATTTGCTAAGTTGTTTAACCCACTCCCGTCTCCACTGTTTAGCTTAGCCGCGGATACCCATCTGTCTTATTTGTTACCGACAGATGATTTAGTCTCCTCTTGTGGTTTGTGAGGTGACAAACTCAGAAAATTCCGAGTTTAAGGTATAAATTTTAATACTTTTGTTAAACTATGACTTCAATCTGTAATTTAGACTATATTGTATATACTCGAAATTTGATAAAATTTTAATTTTTGGTCCTTTTGCACCTTCGTAGATAAACTACTATACCTGCACTGCAGTACAGGCAAATTTCCGAAAGGTGTTTAAATAATTGCATATATCCGCTTATGACGTTCATATTCGTATGGACGGCGGTTACTTGGGCGCTAAATAATCAGGTTTTTATTAAAGGTGAAAACTGGTCGTTCGTTTTCGAGACGGCAATAAACCTCTGAATTGATTATTGAGTTCTTAATGTTGAATGCATTATAATATAAGTAACTTGGCTTGAAATCTCTAAATTTTTAAATTTCATTTTTTTTAACTTAAAAAACCCTTAATAAAGAAGTTTTCCATATGATGTATACTTTGGACATGACACTGTATAACCTACACAAAGAATGGAAATTAGCATAATAAAGTACATAATGGAAGGGGCAGCTACAAGGGTGAAAGTGAAAAATTATATGAAAATAACCAAAATACTCATTTATCTACTAGTTTAAAAAATCAACAATCTTCTTGAAATATAACTTCAATATGTCAGTAAGTAACAATCCTGAGTGAAAGTGATATCAAAACAAATTGAACTGAATGTCATTTACCAACCTAGGTACATGGATCAAAAGTTATTATTGGATTACATCCAAGCAGGAAATCAAATTAGGTAACTCATATCTCTAGTCGTCAGTCGTCTTGAAATATTGGTAACATATATATTAAGATATAGACTAAGATAGTGATAGTTTACGTATTTTGATTGTACGGTGTCCTATGAGCGTAATTTTAGAGCCGAAGAGAAAAGAACGTACAGTTTCGCGTATTGAAGAAAAACTTCTGAAGATTGTGAAGATTTTACTATAAAATGAAGAACAAAATCGAAATGAGTCTTGACGACATCATAAAATCAACCGAAAATCCCCGAAGAGGTGGCCGAACTCGTGGTAGTGGAGGAGGAGATAATCAACGCCGAGGAAATTTCAGAAACTCCGGTCGATCTGGTTCGTCAGGAAGTGCTCCAAACGGCCGAGGACGTATTTCTCGAAAAAACAATCTGGTGAATAAAATTAAAACCTTGATTAATGAATTTGTTCGCGATGGATACGGACCCCGTAAAGTGGCAGCGGCTAGAGCAGCTGTTCAAGCTACGATGGAACCAACGAAGCTTGCGATTTCTAATTTAGACTTTGGGCTATCTGACTCTGATATTCAGGAACTTTTCGCTGAGTTTGGGCCCCTCAGAAGAGCTGCTGTTCATTACGACAGATCAGGCAGACCACTGGGAACTGCTAATGTGATTTTTGAGAAGAGAAAAGATGCAATCAGAGCAATGAAACGGTATAATGGAGTTTCCCTGAATGGACGGTCTATGAACATTCAACTGAGTATGCCAGAAGTTCCTATCCCTATGAGAAGACCTGTAGGTGAAAGGGAGTTTCCAAGAAGAGAGAAATTCTGCCCAAGTAGAGGTGCGCAGAACGCGAGAAATCAGAGGAAGCCACCTACGGCTGAAGAACTAGATGCAGAGCTAGAGGCCTACTCTTCAAAAAGGATCCCGAATTGAGCATTGATTTCATTTTGTTGATTTTATTTTTTATTAAACAACATACCCTCATTTATGACTTGTTACTTGTGGATTTTATAACGAAATGAAAAGCGACATAATTGCTATCTAGCGAACAGAACTCACGCTACCGCTTGTGACGTTTTTTCAGCTAAATTTGGTGAGTTATCTCAATCGTCAAAATATGGTGGTTTTGAGTTGTGTCGGTTTTCTTCCGGACACACGAACCATGAAAATGAAATCAGCTGATGATCAACCATCGGAATTCCACTGTAACATTACTTTCTATTAGAATTTTAGAAAGATCACATATTAAAAAAAAATAATACTCAGAAATTTCTCCGAGTTTAAAGTATAAATTTTAATACTTTTATTAAACTATGACTTCAATCTGTAATTTAGACTATATATACTCAAAATTTGATAAAATTTTAATTTTTGGTCCTTTTGCACCTTCGTTGATAAACTATACCCACTGCAGTACAGGCAAATTCCCGAAAGGTGTTTTCATAATTGCACATATCCGCTTATGACGTTCATATTCGTATGGACGGCGGTTACTTGGGCGCTAAATAATCAGGTTTTAATTAAAGGTGAAAACTGGTCGTCAGTTTTCGAGATGGCAATAAACCTCTGAATTGATTTTTTACTTCTTGATGTTAAATGCAACATAGAAGTAACTTGGCTTGAAATTTCCAAACTTTCAAATTTCATTTTCTGTTAACTTGTTCTATTTTAATTTGTATTTCACTCTACTATTATTTCATTTCAGTTTTTTTCAAGCTCAATATAATTGGTCCTTTCAGCTACTCATCTTTAATTCTTCTTTTCTTTAGTTCTTCAGGATATGTCAAATCATTTAAGTAGTAGAATATAGCCGGTTCTGGGCCTTCCCCCACCACTATGACGTATTATTCGCTTCTTTGTTGTCTAGTAACAAGAACTCAATATTCAATAATGTCAAATCAAAAAAACATCGAGCTGAAATAATGTATTTTGGAACAAATTAATTGATTTTCTGGGATTCTTTTGGAGAATCATTCTTACTGTATTTTTTTTGTGCATGTTTAGTTTTTGGTGATAAAATAACTTTTAATCGATAAACCCTTAATGAAGAAGTTTTCCATATGATGTATACTTTGGGCATGACACTGTACAGCTACAAGTTGAAGGTGGAAAATCATATGAAAATAACCAAAATACTCATTTATCTAATAGTTTGAAAAATCAATAATCTGCTTGAAATATAACTTCAATATGTCAGTAAGTAACAATCCTGAGTGAAAGTGATATCAAAACAAATTAAACTGAATGTCATTTACCAACCCAGGTACATGGATCAAAAGTTATTATCGGATTACATCCATGCATGTTGATACACTATACCCACTGCAGTACAGGCAAATTTCCGAAAGGTGTTTTTTTAATTGCGTATATCCGGTTATGACATTCATACTCGTATGGACGGCGGTTACTTGGGCGCCAAATAATCAGAATTTTATCAAAAGTGAAAACTGGTCGTCAGATTTTCGAGACGGCAATGTACCTCTGGATTGATTTTTGAGTTCTCAATGTTGAATGCATCATATTGTTACAACTTCGGTTTGGGGGTGACTCAGGGGTAGCCTTATGAGGGAAACACCAGAATACTTAGATACTAGGTTTATTGCCTAAGAGTTGTACAAGGGGGTCCTTCCTCAATCGGGGTTTTCTAACAACTGCCTTATTATAATACATCATCATCAGATATAAAACATGTTGACATCATCAAAACTATCAAGTCGAGGAATCGGCTACCGCGGTCTTCTCTCGCTCCGTACGCCTCGTGTTGGTCAAAGTGACATTATGTTGCATCGTAGCATTGGTGCTAAATTCAGGTTAGAGTCCTTGATCGCCATAGGTCATCATCTTGACACACTCTCCCTTGCAACTGAGATATCGACCCCGATGTCCGGTTTAGATTGACGACTTGTATCCAGCGTCCGGAGTCTGTGGTTTCCTTGGTAACTGACCCTGTAACCCAAGAAAAATTACGATAGTACACAAAATCTTAGACTTAAAACTAGGTTTTCAGGCATCCATCTTACAATCTTATACTATTTATTATAAAAAATTTTCCTTGCGCAAGGGAAAAAAATCTATATCACTATTTCTTATCCTATTCTCTTATATCCAATACACTATCCTATACTTTCAGCACTACTTTTTTTTCTCTGCATTTCTATAACTTCCTCTTTTCCCCTTTCTAGCGATGACAATTCACGCGATTGTAAGTTCTGTTTCTTTGCTCTTAGTTTTGCCAAACAATAATACGCACTCCAACCAGTAGAGGCTACCAGGACTAACAAAACGAATATGCCACTAATATCATTTAATATTATGTTCCAATCTGTCGCTGATACTGTGGGAATCGTGCCAGATTCTAACAAGTAAGGATTTTTTATTATTATCACTATAATTAAAACAGTTGTAACCCAATTATTAGAGCTTACAATTTTCCATCCTACTGTGTGGAAGTAGTGGAAATCCATGAATAATAACTGACTTTTTTCAACACTAGGATATCTTTGTTTTTCGAAATGATGTACAAATTTTGGAATTTCCATAGTCCAATTCTCATTTAGACATTCTGAAAAGTTTTCAAAATTCAAATGAGTGTATGTAGTCATGAAGTCTAATTTAAATAAATCGAATTTGGACCACATAGCAGGTAAAACATGCTTGAAATTATAGTCACTTATTCCTCTTGTATGGCAAGAAAAAACTGCTGAAATTAATATTTTTTGTCCCGAAACTGAAGAAAAATCACATGGTATATTAATTTCGAGAGAGCCTGATTTATCAGCTTGATTACTTCCAATCTTTTTTGTTTGATTGGGACACCTCAAAACCAAATCGACTGGCGCATGCGTTATAATAAATTTTTCAGGTCCTATTTGATTTACTAGAGTACCGTTGTCTGAAAAACAAGTGACTTTGCATACATCTATCAATTCTGAAACTTGAGCTCCGCGAGCCAGCCTGAGAAAGCACGTAGGATTTTTCACACTAGTGTCACTAGCTCTAGATAAAAAACAAAGTTTGTCATTTTCTAAGCATGCTTTCACAGCAGTTCCAGCAATTATTTTCATTTCTTCCTTGTCTTTTGCTAACAAAATATCGTTCTCGTTAAAAATACACGTTTCATCATTCCAAGCAAAAGGCGTGAATGTGAGACGAAAGATTTCCCAGTTACGTTTTATCTGCTTTACCGGTAATTTCAACGAGATAACAATAACGCCGCTTGTTGCCACGCTAACGGCAATACTTAGCCGTAGGTATCCTGTTACTCCTTCTGGTTTTATTACAAGTTCATGTCCTTGCTTATTCAATGACTATTCAATTCTAAATAAATCTTTCTGGAACGTTTTTGAGTCTATTACTTCTCGGGAATTTTATCATCACGGCATTCACTGATTATTTCGTACTTATTGAACATTTGTAGTATTTCTAAATTTTGTAAAGCATGATTGATTGAATATCGCATGATTTTCATTAACAGCTAGTAGGAGATTTGAGCCGGTTCTAAGCCTCCCCCCACCACTATGACGTGTCAATTGCTTTTTTATTGGTTGTTGTTTGGTGAAGTCAAGGTGATGTGACCTTGAAGGGTGTGGTGTATGGATCGTTCAGAAATTTTTTCCCGGTTCTAATCCTCCCATCACCAATATGACGTGTTATTTGCTTTTTTTTGTTGTGCAGTGAAGTCAAGGCGTTGTGACTTTGAAGTGTCTGGTGCATGGATTGTTCAGATTTTTTTTTCATATGAGATTTTGTGTGTATGTGTGTGTGTGTGTGTGTAAGAGAATGCACGGTACAGGGTTTCATCATGTGCTTGTTTGTCTATGTACAAACATACGTCTGCATACTTCGAATATCCTCCAAGTAATGAATGCTCCATCGGTGTGAGGGCACCAAGTTAGTAGTGGAGTGACGTCACAGCAATAACCGTTCAACGGCTAGAGAGCGACATGTTCACTCCACGACGTGTGGCAAAGTAATGCGTATTCATCGGTCTGCTCTCACCTCCCTCTATGTAGTGAAGGATGTGACGTAACGCATCGCCCCAGACTCGCCATCAATGGAGACACGCAGGCGGGTGAGGACTGTGCTAACGTCTGTCCTCTCCGAGAGCGCAACGACAACCGCTTGTTCGTATTGCTTTCGAAGCAGTGAATGATGTGACGTAACGCATCGCCCTACCCTCGCTATTGATGGTGACACGCAGGCGGGCGAGGACTGTGCAAACGTCTGCCCTCTCCGAGAGCGCAACGACCACTGCTTGCTCGTACCGGCAACTGTTATCGCATCAAATTGGGAGATGGGCTTGGCTGTGAAATCAGGCATCTCTAGTGGATGCATCGATGTGTCCTTACCTAACCTCACTCTCGACGATGATGCTCAGGCGACGTGTATTATGGTATTGAAGAAGCGGGCGAATGTTGGTTATGTTAGTTTCCATCGAGTGAGTTAGTGAGAACATATCATAGAAAATGTATTCTTGTGAATGTGGTAAATCTTTTACCCGTAGTGACAACCTTCGTCGTCATCAGCTCCAGAGTTGCCAAGGAGGGCCATCAGTGAAACGAGTGAGATTAGATGACGCTGCAGCACGTATGTACACATGTAATTTTTGTAATGTGATGATTCCATTGACTCAAGTGAATTCTCACAATAGAACTCTACAACATAAGAATAATACATGTGTTCAATTCAGTGATGGTGTTCATATTATGAAGAGCGCCTTCAAACGTCGGATTGCGACATACAGGGTGCAGAGTTCCATTGTTTCCACCGATTACATGTTATTCTTTAATGAAATCAGGCAGAAAGTTATAGAATTATTGGAATCGGCCATCATGGTTCACAAAATCATCAAAGTGAATATGGAAGTATTTGGGAGTTATATTCTACAAACACAAGACCTGAAGGAAACCAAATCATTTAATTCACAGAATAGAACAGTTGATCAATCTACTGATTTGAATTCCTTATTTGATGGATTTCGAAATGGGATTATCGCTCAAACTACAGAATTCCAGGAACGTGATTCAGGTAAACATTTCTACCAAGTTTTAATTGGATGGATTAGTAATTTTCTTTTGTATTTGAGGTTGGACTTGTGAAAAAATCATGTTTCTGGAGTTGAACATTAATAAATACAGCCCGCTCAGTGGATGTTCATATGTGAAGCTGCCTGAATGTATCGAGCGTAGGAAGGCCGTGGTTAATGTCCGTAATGAAGATCAGCATTGTTTTGCATGGGCTATCACTTCAGCACTACAT